AAGTTTCTGTACAGCAAAAGAAACTCAAAGTGAAGAGGCAACCGACAGAGAAATTATTTGCAATCCATGCAACTGATAAAGCACTAATAACCAAAATGTTGTTGAATTTCTTGCTCTTTGTACAACAACCCAGTTGAGATGGTCAAAGGACTTAGATATTTTTCAAAAGAGGAAATCCAAATGGCCAACAGGCACATGAAAAAATGTTCAGGATCACTAGCAATCAGGGAAAGGCAAATCAAACCACAATGAGGTTTCACCTCACCCGGTAGAGCAGCTTTCATACAGAAATCAGCTCACAGATGCTGGAGAGGATGTGGGGAAAACGGGACACTAACCCACTGCTGGTGGGAATGCAAACTGGTAAAGCCACTATGGAAGTCAGTCTGGAGATTCCTCAGCAATCTGAATCTAGTCCTACCACATGACCCAGCCATCCCACTCCTCAGAATTTACCCAAGGGAAATGACATCAGCAAATAAAAGTTATCTGTACCTTCATGTTTACTGCAGCTCAATTCACAATAGCTTAGACATGGAATAAACCTAAATGCTCATCAATGGAAGACTGTAAAGAAATTATGGGCTATGTACTCTATGGAATACTACACAGCAGTTAAAAGAAATCTGGTTATTTGCAACAAAATGGATGAATCCGGAAAACATCATACTTCGTGAAATAAGGCAGTCCCAAAGAGACAAATACCGTATGTTCTCCTTGATCTGTGTTAACTAGTGGAGCACCTAAAAGGAAATCCTTAGAAGTGAAACTGACACTTTGAGAAGGTATGACTTGAGCTGCTCTTGCATTGATTGTCAAGGAAGAGTTTTGTTTTTTCGTTTTTTTCTTCATACTATTTGTTGAACTCCACTTAACATAGAGTTAATCATATGTATATAAAAGCAACTGAATTGAAAATAGATCTCAATAAAAAATAAGAGTGGGAATAAGAGGGAGGAGGAAGTTTGTAACTGTAAAGCTGTATAGCTTGGCATACATTCCTATGGACTTACTTCTAAGGGTCCAGTTTAAAAATTTGTCACGGGACCCCCAAATTCCATTAAACTTGGTTGTAAAATTCCATCTTAATTGTTAAAGTGATCATATTAAGTGTTAAAGTGAACATATAGATAGGGTTAAGTGTTACAGTGATCATATAAATAGGATCAAGTACCTGTACTAAGAGATAGAATTATAAAGGAGCGAATGTTCCAACATGGGAAGGAGTCCACACAGCAGACTCATAGAATGACAATCACTTTAAGTAACACTCTGACCTCAGAATCAGCCCTTAAGTCTTCCTGGTCTGGCTGAAAAGTCCGTGAGAGCATCTCAGGCATGGAAAGCTAGGACACTGTGGCAAAAAATGGATGTTCTCCATGAAGATCTCTGTGGGTGAGATCCAGTGGAAAGAAGAAGTGGTCAAAGAAGGATGTACTTTTCTCTGAAGGGAGGAGAGAAGTTCCACTTTGCTTATGACCTTGCCTAAACACTGATGGAGATTGTGGATTCAAAGTCTTCCATAGCCTAGGCAGCTCATGTCAGGCGCCTTGGGTGGTCACTGACAGCATACATAAGACTGTTAACTGTTAAATTAACAGGAGTCACTGTGCACTAACTCTCTATGCAGTACCTCTGTCCTCAATGAGTTGTATTATGAGACTTAACTGTAAAAGTAGTTCTCAAACTGTTGTGTTTGTGTGTATGCGTGTGAATTGTTGAAATATTAGTGTGCAGTTGGTCTTCAGTGTACAAAGTTAATTGGAAATGAATCTTAATGGAGAATGGGACTGGGAATGGGAGAGGGAGGAGTTGTCTGAGTGTGGGTGGGAGGGTGGGTATGGTGGGAAGAATAACTATATTCTTACAGTTGTACTTATGAAATTTGTATCTCTTAAAACTTATTAAAAAAGAAAACATACTAAAATAATTCGGATTTTAAAGTCATTTATAGGGAGTAGAGACCAGGACAGCAGCTGAGTAAGACGTGCCATAACCACCCCCCCCCCCCCCACACAGAGACACCGATGAGCATCCATTCACGCACCAGCTCACCTCACCAGTCACAGATGCCAGGTCAGAGACCACACGGCCTCCTCTGGCAGCACAGTAAGGAAAGCTACACTGGGGAAGACAGGAAGGAAGGCATTGCCAGGTCACCCCTCCCCCAGCTCCAGGGAGCACAATGTGGACTAAGACAACTCCCACTTGGGGTGGGGGGACAGCAACTTGAATCCCACCTTCAGGCCCACAGCATCAAGACTGAGTTGGACTCAGGCTTCCAGCCCCAGGCTCCAAGTTGCAGACAGAGAATCTGGTGACACAGCCAGGCAGCATCTACTTCCTCCTCTCCCAACTACTGGCAAAAACGGGAGCAAGACCCCGACATGCAGAGTAGGGCAGGGGGAGGGGCTCAGGCCCATGCCTTGGAGCTCGGCCACTCACCCACTGGAGACCCAGAACCTGATGGAGCCCAAGGCTTCTGACCGCAAGTTGGTTCTCAGAGCCTCTAGACTTGCCCATCACCCGGGGATCTGCGGTCCACTGGGACAAATTTTGGCATGAGTCACCGTCGATCTCAGGTGGTCCTGCTGTGCACCCCATGGGACTTCATGGGGCCTGGTGACTCTAGGACCCCAGTGTCACCAAGCCTGGTGCCAGTCTGGGTAGTGAGAAGCTGTCCTTATCACTCTCCCCCAAACTTGGGCAGACAGTCAGGAGCCACAGGGCTGTGTCTTGGGACTCAGCCCAACATGGGGCAGACCTCACTGGTTCCTGTCCCTAGGCAAATGCCTGTTGTCAGTCTCTGGACTTGCCCAGTACTAGGGGAAAACACGGAGCTGGTAGAATGGATGTGGAATGGCGTGTGTCACCACCATCCTCACATGGCAACTGTGTGCACCCCAAGAGTGCACGGGGCCTAGTGACCATGAGGGCCAGGCATGACCCACCTGGTGCCTGCCCAGGTAGCTGAGGGGCTGCTTCAATTACTCCTCCTGCAAGCTTTGGCAGACAGGAAGAAGTCACAGGGCCATTTTAGGACTCAGTGCCAGTAACCTCCACTGTCGAGCAGATCCCAGGCTAGCCTCCAGATCCGCTTCAGAACCAAGTGGACCTCTGTGTCGATCAGTCCAGCGCACTAGCTACCACCAGCAGTGGCTGGCCTCAGTGCCACCTCAGCAGGGCGAGCTACGCTGTTCCCAGTGGGCTGTGGGCTCCAGGTGTCATCCAGCATCGGAGCCCTGTACCAGGAGTCGGAAACTATCACAGGCCCAGGCTGTGTAGGCACCGTGCAGAACACTGTGTAGAACGCCCCTGGGTAGGCACCGGCTCAGTTTCTTCTGAGAAACACTCCAACTGGCAGATTGAAGTGAAATTCGAGCTTGAGGAGTGCTGTAGGACTAAATCCATCAAAACCAGAGGAGGACCAGGGCCAAGCCCACTACCAGGAGGCTTCAGTTGCCGAATTCTACTTAACATCTTACGAATGAACACAAATGCTTCTTAAACTATTTCAACATGATAGAAGAGGAAAGAATTCTTCCAAATTCTACGCAGTCAGCAGCACCCAGATACCAAAACTAGACAAAGTCCTAATCAAAAGCAAGCTGCTAACCAGTATCCTTGATGAGCACGGATGCAGAGGTTTGCAGGACAATGCAGCAAATGAAACCCAACAGTGCATGAGAGACATTCAACTATTCACCATCACGCTCACCTCAGCGGCACGCAGACCACCAGCATTCACCATGATCGAGTCACCCCAGTGATGAGGATGGCTCATAGCACACTCAACTCGGCCCTCAGAGCACTTCATGGGCTGGCACAGCTGTTGCCATCTTGGCACTGGTGACATTGGGGCTGGCTCACTCTTTGTTGTGGGGGCTTCCCTGTGCATTGTGGGATGTTCTTCAGATGCTGGGGCTCCACCTACTGGATTCCAGGAGAACCTTCACCAGGCATCTGTGACCATCAATGCATCTCCACGGGCCGGCACTGTGTCTTAGCAGGCGAAGCTGCCGCCAGCAGTGCTGGTATCCCCTATGAGCACTGGTTCAAGTCCCAGCTGGTCCACTTCCAATCCAGCTCCCTGTTAGTGCACCTGGGAAAGCAGCAGAAGATGGCCCAAGTCCCTGGGTCCTTGCACCCACATGGGAGACTCAGAAGAAGCTCCTGGCTCCTGACTTTGGATTGGCCCAGCTCTGGCCATTGTGTCCATTTGAGGAGTGAACCCAAATGGAAGCAGATCAAAGATCTGCCTCTCCCGTCTTTCAAATAAGTAAATCTTTCTATAAAAAAATCTCCAGATATCAGCATCCCCTTAGGGACACACCTGCCCGCTGTTGAGAGAACTGCTGAGCTACAGAAAAACCTGTCATTCTACCCAACAGCAAACTGAAATCCATCAAGAATGCAACGGTTTGCCCCAAAGCTGCAAAATTTCGAGCGACCAAGTATCCACGATTGAGTCCTACCCTTGTCACTTTCAACCTATACCCACCTCACCTGGGGTCTGGGGATTCCGAGACTGCCAAGATGCAAAACATACGAAGTGAAGGCAGGTAGAACGACTCCCAGGAGAGGAGAGAGGCACATTTTTTTTTTTGACAGGCAGAGTGGACAGTGAGAGAGAGAAACAGAGAGAAAGGTCTTCCTTTGCCATTGGTTCACCTCACAATGGCCGCCGCGGCCGGCGCACTGCGCTGATGTGATGGCAGGAGCCAGGTGCTTTTCCTGGTCTCCCATGGGGTGCAGGGCACAAGCACTTGGGCCATCCTCCACTGCACTCCCTGGCCACAGCAGAGAGCTGGCCTGGAAGAGGGGCAACCGGGACAGAATCCAGTGCCCCGACCGGGACTAGAACCCGGTGTGCGCCACAAGGTGGAGGATTAGCCTAGTGAGCCACAGGGCCGGCCTAGGGGGCACATTCTAACGGCAGTGTCCACGCCCAGACCAACCTGACGCTCAGCATGCGCGGCCCAGGCACTTTTATCACTTACATCAGCACTTCCAAGTTGCACTTGGGCTTCTTCAGCATCTCGCACAGGTACCTGACCCCAATGGAGGAGACATTCGTACGGTACAGATTCAGGTACTTCAGGTGAGGGTGAAGAAGCATTTTGGTACTGAAGTCTACGCCGTTTCCAAAGTTGGACATAAAATTAAACCTGTAAAACCCAACGGAGTGCAGTCAAGCAAGGAGGTCCGAACAAAGCCACACCCACTCTGTTCTTCCCTCCTCCTGCTTATGGGTTGTGGAATCCTGCTGACTCCTGGCCAATTATTGTCCATTGAGCTCTTCAGACACCAGACAGGATCCAGGTGCTTACAGCTGCTTGTTGGCGCATCTGCATACCCACAGGCAGCGTGAAGGGAGCGGGTCAGGCAGGTCTTGTATTACACCGAGATCCCTCGGGTTCAGGGTAAACCATGCCTGTACCTCTCCATGTTCTTCGATCTGGCACAGGGCCTCACTTACACCAGACACGCACATAGTTCAGTTAATACCGCACGAAAGGCACACGGGGAAAAACAAACCCAGAGCAAACCAGGTACAAGCTTCCAAGGGCCTCTCTCTGTAGAGTGACCAGGACTCGACTGATTCCTCCAGCACCAACTGCAACTCGTGGGAGAACTCAGAGGCTCAGAGGCCAAGCCCTTTGTTAAACCTGGGAGTAGTCACAGAGGTACCTCTGCCTGGTATGTGCCCACATTCCAAACTTGCCCACCCTAGTGCAGCTAGGGAGGCAGGAATTCTCCCCAAAGTCAAGTTCTTTTTTTTTTTTTTATTTTTTTTTGACAGGCAGAGTGGACAGTGAGAGAGAGAGACAGAGAGAAAGGTCTTCCTTTGCCGTTGGTTCACCCTCCAATGGCCGCCACGGCCGGCGCGCTGCGGCCGGCGCATCGCGCTGATCCGATGGCAGAAGCCAGGAGCCGGGTGCTTTTCCTGGTCTCCCATGGGGTGCAGGGCCCAAGCACCTGGGCCATCCTCCACTGCACTCCCTGGCCACAGCAGAGAGCTGGCCTGGAAGAGGGGCAACCGGGACAGAATCCGGCGCCCCGACCGGGACTAGAACCCGGTGTGCTGGCGCCGCTAGGCGGAGGATTAGCCTAGTGAGCCGCGGCGCCGGCCCAAAGTCAAGTTCTCTACCATTCAATGGCTGGCCTGGCAAGCATCCCTTCCTGGGGACAGCAGTCTCAGGCTTGCTATGTGAACTGTTTTTCTGCACAAATACACTGGCCAGCCATTATACACGTGATATCTGTAACCAAATAATACTACTACTGATAGGATCTGGGAGCAGGCCGAGATCAAACTTACGCCAAGGCTTGGATCTTGCATGTGGGATGGGCCAGAGCTTTCCAAAGAATTGTCAAGGAAGCATCATCAAGCTTACAGTTGTCCATATCTAACAACTCAAATTTCTTGCTGGTGCTGAACACGGAGCAAAGGTCCCTCCAGTAGGCGAGCTTCTTACTGTGACTTTGGGAAAAGAAAACCCGTGACTCCCCAGCGGCTGAGTTCCATGCGCGACATCCTCAGGACAGGCAGACAATGCCCCAGACCTCTCAGAGGTGACCAATGCCCACGTGCAGGGGGAGGAGTTCAGCCAGGTGAAGTCAGTGAGTGTGGCGTAGTGTTAAGGAAGATGGACCCCCAGGCAAGAGGAGCTGCACTGAAATCGTGGCTGAACTGCTTGTTGGCTATGTGGCCCTGAAGAAGCTGTTCCACCTCATTCATCCCCCTTAGTCAAAGTGGAAGTTCTCTCCTCCCTTCAGAGAAAGGTACCTCCTTCTTTGATGGCCCCTTCTTTCCACTGGGATCTCAGAGATCTTTCATTTAGTTTTTTTTTTTTTTCCAGATTATCTTGGCTTTCCATGCCTGAAATACTCTCATGGGCTTTTCAGCCAGATCCGTATGCCTTAAGGGCTGATTCTGAGGCCAGAGTGCTATTTGGGACATCTGCCATTCTGTGAGTCTGCTGTGTATCTCACTTCCCATGTTGGATTGTTCTCTCACTTTTTTATTCTTTCAGTTAGTATTCACAAACACTGGTCTGGTTTATGTGACCCCTTTGACTCAGTCCTATTAGTATGATCAATTGTGAACAGAAATTGATCACTTGGACTAGTGAGATGGCATTGGTACGTGCCACCTTGATGGGATTGTATTGGAATCCCCTGGTATGCTTCTAACTCTACCATTTGGAGCAAGTCCGATTGAGCACGTCCCAAACTGTGCATCTCCTCCCTCTCTTATTCCCCTGGTACGTGAGACTTGTTTTCATGTGATCAAGGAGAGGTATCTGGCGATGCCTCCGTGAACGGGAAGCTGCACCCCAGCATTAGGACAGGTGCCGTACAGCTGAGAGCTGAAGTATCAGCTGGTAAGCTGAACCCAGCGTAGGCAGCAGGGACACAGGTACAATCCACAGTCACAGGTTTCCCAGGCACCCAGAGGCGAAGCAGAGGAGGGGAAGAAGCAGTCATAATAAAAGCTACGTGACTTTAAACCTGACATTGATCTCATCAAGTAAAAGCCTTTTCTTTATACTGATGGGGAAAGGCACCCAGAACCTGCTGCTCACAGCCACATAGCCATCAACGGGAAGCCCTGGGGAAGCCCGGACTACAGCATCCGTGCTCTTGAGCAGGAAAGTGAAGGACGGGCACGAACGCGAACCCCAAGTGGCAGAGGCCTGTGCGCGCGGGGGTGGGGGATTCGCGTGTGGACTCACTCTGGGATAGCGCCCAAGTCCCCTGGGAAGTCGTCGTCCACACACAGGTGCAGTTTCTTCACGTTCCGGCTGCTTTTTCAGGCAGAAGGAAGACATCGCCAGATTTTCAAGGCTGTCGATGTAAATGAAGATTTCTTCAAAGAAATCCATCACTTGTGCGACGAATTCCCTCTCCTGGATCTCAAACAGAGCGGAGCTCAAGTTCTGGAAATTCACCACTTCACCAGGCTCGCCCTTGCTTAGGCGTTGAAGGCACTGGGATATTTTGGGCTTTATCTCTTCAGACAGCAGCATGCCGAACCATTTGCCCAGCATGCCGGTGATTCTGCTGCTGCAGATGCCAAAGAGGAATATCCCCATCCGGTACAAGCGGCTTTGGAGCTGCCCCATAGTTGCCGCTGACCAGCTGCGCTATGCTTCCAATGGCTGGGTTCAGCTGGTCTCCGGGCTGTCCGAGGAAGTAGAACAAGGCAGCACAGAACTCTTGCAAGGGCGTATGGTTGAAGACGAAGCCGTCGCCTCGTGGCCGGAGAAATCTCACGTCCAGCCACATCACCACGTCAGATTCAGACACCCCGTGCCTCCTGAGATCCGCTTGGGAGAACACGTAGGTCTGAGTCCATATCCCCTCCGCGGCCAAGGTACACAAGCTTTTCATCTGCGCCCTGTTCTGCAGGGGGGGACAGTTCTCCCTCCCTACTCTGAACGCACCTGTTAAGAAGAACGCATGCAGAGAAGTGGTGTTCTCGAAGACAACGTGAAGTTGCTCCCCCCTCTCTTGCTGCCACTTCATACAAGTACAGAGCAGCCAGGATATCAGAGGGTTCTCACACAAGGCGAACAGTGAGGGGATGGCTCTCACAAAACTGAGGGCTCTCAAGGCGTCTTTCTTCTCACCGAAGAAGTAGGAGAAATACAGTTTCCTTTGCTGTTCCGAGAATCCTTTGAGTCTTAGGTATGTTGGATTTTCCAAGAAGGAACAGTATTTTCCGATACTCGTCTTGCCATATCCAAGCAGCAGAGAACATTCTGGAAGCATTGCTTTCTGCAGCAAGCTGCTCAGGATAACCTGTGTTGGCTTCCGTTGCCTCCAGTCACTGCACAAGTCAGTCTGCTGTTCCAAGTCGAATTTCAGCTCCTCAAAGCCGTCCATGATGAACAGGATCTTCACTGGCTGGGCAAAGACATCTTCGAGCACCTCCTCTGACGCGGGCCAGTCTCTGGAGACGAGCTCCGCTAGGCTCGTCTCTGCGACACCATTCAGCTCATAGACGCTGAAGAAGAACACAAAGGCGAACCTGTCCCTCCATAAGTTCCCGTTCGCCCACTCCAACATCAGCTTTCTCAGCAGCGTGGTCTTGCCACTGCCTTTGGGGCCACTCAGTACCACAGTGAGTGGTCCGACCTTGTACGCAACATACAATGATATGTACTCGTTAAACACCGTTTCTCTGTAGAAGTGCTCAGGGACTTGGAGACAGGTCTCTTCCTCCCAGATGAGATGAAATTTTGTCTTCATGTGGTTTCTGTATGGGCTTACTTTACCCAAGTTAACTAGAAGAAGGTAGAAACGCACTCACTGTTGTGTCCTCCTCAGAACAGCTCTTACACACGTCTTACAACTTCTGTGACGTGGCCCATCTGCATCTCTAGGTAAGTTTGGAGCAGAATCTGGTGAAACCCTGTCCCTGGGAGTACAGGCACAAACCTGCAAACCTAACTCAGAGCTAGAGACGAAGGCAAGGGTGAATAACCGGGCATTGCATTTCAAGTACAAGAGGTGGGGGATGGTATCTCCCCAGCGGAGAACCCATGAGCACCACCATCTGCCGAGGCAGGGGGGACAGTGTCACTGTTGACCTCACAGTATCTTTTCTACAAGCCACAGAGTCAACTCCAGTCCCACCTCACACAAAAAGCATCGGACAGTCTATGGGACTCCAGGTTCAGACCGATTAAGAAATGGTAGGGTCAAGCAAGTGTTTATCCCGTATCTGACTGGAATCCTTGGGGTCTAGTTTATTACCAACACTCTGACTGTACTGAACTCTGGAGCTGTAGCCCTGAACTATCATCCCTTTGATTGATTGA